CAGGGCTCGCCCGTCGCTGGTTCGTGCCGGGCGGGGTCCGGAGCACGCAGCGGTGCGAGGGGCACTGCCGAGCCCCGTGTTAGCCCTGCTGCGAGGCAGCGCCGACACCCCGCGTACCGGGCTGCAATTCCCTTAGAGCAGGGACATCCCACCCCGCTGCTCTGGGAAACAGCAGGTCTGGAGCTGGCGGGATGACACCAGGCAAGTGACACCCTCCTGTCACAGCTTCTGTCATCTCCGTGCGTGTGACAGCGCCGGCCTCTCTCTGTGACTGCAGCCCGTGAGCCCCTGGGCTGGGGAAAGCTGAAAGCTTGGCCATCCTGCATCTTCTTCCAAGTATGAACATAGCCAGTCCAGACTCAGAATGAGCTGCCAGAACCCTCCAGGTCTGGCTGCTAGAGATAGAGCAACTGGATAAATCTACTGGATCCATAAAGAATTCAAGTGGTTAATTTGGGTTAAAAGGTCGGTAACCATTGAGACAACCTTTACTGTTGTGCAGGAAGCAATTCTGCAACCATAAACCCCGTTTTGTAGCAAAATAAAGTGAATGTAAAATTTAAATCAAGATATAAAAGTGGGTAGAGCTTTGGAAGTGGTAGCCCAATGCACCATTTTCTTGATAAAGAGGTACTTTATTAGGTTAATTTTATTTCAGTTCCAAAATAGTACTTCACAGAGACTCATAATTAGTTCTGACAGCAATTTAAAAAAAAAGCAATGAACTTTAAAATAATGCTGTTACATCTAGTACTTATATTAATGACTTAAGACAAAGTGTAAGTTTTAAGGTTTATAATTAACGATAACTGCTTTAATGAGCTTTTCTGTAATTGTAACATTATATCTAATACCAATTGTTGCGCATTTAAAAAACCCTCTGGAGAAAATCTTAGAGATCCTAGTAAGTGTTGCACATCTCATTTTCCATGCATTGGGTTTAAATTTGTACCCTCTGAGCCCAATTTGTTGCTTTCCTTAATTAATGTTGTTGCATGAAATTTTTCCCTTTTGGTCATTTGATACCCTGATAGAGATTGGTTGTGTAGTTGTCAGCTCTCTGCAGGGTGTTGTTAGCAAAGATCTTGTCAGCTTGAAGAGTGGATAAGCATCCTAGACTGACTTGTTGATTGAGTCACACCTCAGAGCTTCCAGGCAGGCAGGTCTGTTGGGGTGCGGTGGGGAAGCTGATTTCACCAGCTGTGTAACAGGCTGTATTGCCACTTTCTTTGGTTCTCTTTGTCATTTCACTATTTTCTTTACTGAAACTGCAATTTTTGACAGTCTCTCTGCAGGTGGAATGCCTCCTGTCCCTCAATTGGCTCAGCAGATCAGCCAGGAGGAAAAACAACAGCAAAATGGACCAAATTTGTCAAGTTTGCTTAATTCCTTACCTGCTGCACACAGCAGGAACCCAGCAGGTACAACCAGCAGGATGGGATAAGAACCAAGTGCTTGTGGTCCCAGCTCCAGTTCCCTTACAACAACAGGTATATTTGTATATTGTACAACATTTAAAAAATACAACATTTGTATATTTTCTCCTATGGGGAGTGTTGACCTTTGTGTTTTGTGTGGGCACTTTGTGGATGGCAGAATTTATCACTCCAGCCTGGGGAGAAAGGAACAAATGATTCCAGTATTTTTTGCAGGTGACTTTGCCAAACCTGATAATTTGCTTCAGACAGCTGTGGTATAGCTCAGCTGGGTATGAATCTTTGAAAAAAGATTTTGTATTCCTTTAAATTTAGAATACTCTGTGGATAACTGTACCTCTCGCTTGGTTTTAATTAGTGCTGCAGATATACATGATTTTTCTTGAAGAAAGGAAAGGAGTGAGAAGGAGTCAGACACATTCTCTAGGGAAGTAGCATTTGTTCTGTAATGAAGCCCTAGAAGGAGATTAAATTAAACAGAATCCATCATTTAAAAACTTCATGCACCATTTTAAAATAAGGGGGGAGGGGGATGACCATGAAAATTTGTGCTGTTTCTGCTGATTTGCCAGTAGTTGCAGGATACTTACATGTGTTAATAAAAATGCATGAAACTAAATGTGTTTTTATATGAACTTTTTAGGGAATTTTGTCCATCTGCCATCTGGCAGAGTATTTAAATTCTGTGAAATTTCTCACTGAATCAGTCAGCACTTCTAATGAGATCTAGGGGTACTGTATTTTAGGAGGAAAAACAAAAGTTCTCAAGACTGAGTAGCTCTGCATCCCAAGATTCTCTACTCATTTCTGGTATTACTGCTGTCTCACAAAGTCCTTCAGAAACTTTACAAAAGCTGCACAAAATGCATTAGTCATTATCTTTTACTAAAGTGCAACTTCAAAATCCATGGAATGTTTCCAAGGACTGAATAATTGTTTCTATTGATTATCCATGTAACATTTTAACATTTTTCAGTGTCTGTCTTGGTTTTGTGTTGTGCAGTAGGAAACATAACTTTAATTGTGTTTAATTGAAGGAAAATGAAATTCTGCAGCAAACAGCATCATCGAGGAAAGAAAGTTTATGATCTCTGAAACCTCTGCCGAAACTCCATGAGGCTCCACAGTATAAATCACACCATGATTATCTTCTGGAAGAAATGCAGTGGATGGCAACAGATTTTTTTTCCAAGAAAGAAAATGAAAGATGATAGCTGTTGAAAGAGTAATGTGAATTTGATCTTTTCAACCAGAAAATAATAGGCAGCATTTTCATGGTTAGGATGTGATCATTGAGGATCTGTGAGTTTGGGGTTGCCTCTTCACTGTTTGTAAACTTTAAACAGTACTAAAGGGATTGTAATTATTTTTCTTTCTTTAGGAATGTGTTTTTTAGATAAAATCAAGTAAAAACTTAAAATAACTTTATGGTTTTATTTTAGGGTTAATGTGTCAAGGTGGGAATAGATGAGTCTGGAATGCCAGTTCTACAAAGACAAATTATTTAATTGTGAGCAATGAATTAACTGCAGAGCTTGTCATTTGAGGGTGCTGCCCTGTCTGTGACTCCTGGTAACATGAGCATAATGCTCTATTTCCATGCTGTGGGCTCTTGGAACCTTTTAAAGTAACAGCAGCTGCTCTCTGCAGTGTCACATGACACGTGGCTCTTCCAGTTCCTCTTTAATTCTGCCATCAGCTGGGAGCTTTTTCATCATTCTCAGACACTGTGCTATTATTGCGATTTTTATTTTAACTGCAGTGGAATAGTAGTAAAATATTTCTTTACTTTGTGTGGGTTTTTTTTTCTTTTGCTATTACTTAAGGACACAGACTGGTCTCTCTCTGATGTGATTGGGATGGAAAACCAAATTACTTGCTACAAAGCACAAATGCTGCCAAAACTGAAGGTAATTGAAAACCTTATTGAAGAGTTCTCCTACTCCCCTTCATCACCCAGACTTGAGCCAGAGAAGGTCAAACCAAACAGGTATGTACTGTTCAGGTGATTGATTTTTTTTTTAATTGATTTTTTTTTAATAGCATATGAAAAGGAGTAATATTTGTGAGGGTTGAGAGAGTTCATTCATAATTATTTGTTAATTTTTTTTAATCTTTTGTTTTCAAACTGATCACTGCTAAAGACTTTATGCCTTTAAAATCTTCTCCCTCAGTCTTCTGAGGGAAAGCAGAGTGCTTCTTACTGCTTAATAGTTCTTTTCATTTATGAAAGCTCAGTTTCGATCTTTCTGGCCATGCTCAAGAGTTGAAATCACTTGTGGTTTTGATCAAACACTGAAAATTGCTTCTGGAGTAGTTTCCTAAGCAGAATAATTAAATCTTCTCCTTCGAGTTAATATTAGGATGTACTTGCAAAGCACTAAAGATTTTTTTTGCGGGGGATGGGGAAGAGGGGGAGGGAAGGACAGAGGGAGAAAAAAATGCTCAGTTAAATTTTGAGCTTATTTGATTTTTGTTCCTGAGTCTTCCCTCGGAGGAGAAGTTAGGAGGGTTCAGTTTTGAGTCTTGGAGCAAATATAATTCTGCTGTAGAGCAATGTAGAGTTAAATCTTACAGTAAGTTAGCCTGATATGAGAAGAGTAGGGTCAGTGAAGCCCAAGACAGCTTGTGTGACATGTGGCTGTGACAGGTGACAAGGAGAATGTCCTGCACTAGTGTTCTTAGCCTGTTCTGCCAGAAGAGAGCATTGGCAGCTACTGAAGTTAAAGACTTGGAAATGATAGCTGAAGTATATATGTAAAACAGAAAAAGAACTCATTCTTTTTCTGTTTAGACACCTTTGGTTTCCTGGAAATAGCATACACAAAACAGTTACTGTGAAATCTGATTTTAAAACTGCAGTGTTTTTGAAACCATACCCATAGGAAAGCTTTGCTCCATTAAGAAGTTTGACCCTTATTAGCATCTTTTGGGGAGTTCTCTTGCTGTTTCCAGACTCCAAAGATGACTAGGGGATATGGGAGTTCTGTTATGCCCCTTCCATGTGATCCTTCAGAGATAACTGGAGCATCAGAGCATTTGGTGTACTTGAATTTTACAGTATAGTGTGTTGAGAGAAGCAGAAGCTCTCCTGCCATATGCTCTTCAGCTGGGTACCTCTTTCTGCTCAGATTACTGACTAAAAATAATATTTTTGCCAGTAGGCATAGAGTAGGAAAGCAGATTTATTTTTCATTGCAGTACCAAAGCTAACATTTGTCCTTGGTGTCACAAGTGTCAGCTTTTCTCCTGCTCTCTTCTCCATTCACAGAACTCTTGCCTGAGCTAAATTATCCTTATTTTCAACTTTGTTTTTTGCATGATCTTTATCTGGTCACAACAGATTCAGAAAAAAATTTTGAATTTAAAGGATATTCCAGGAGAAAGGGAGAACTGAAGGAACACCTGGACAAAATATACTTCTTGAATGAGTGTCATTGTTGCAGAACCCCTGTGTATGGCAGAGACCTGTTGGAAACTTGCTCTTGGATCAATGAAAGAAAAATCTCTCAGCATTGTTCTGCCAGGATTAACAAGTGGTGCTGGGCTGGCTTTGCAAATTGCCTCCCATACTCCAGCACTTCAGAGGCTCTGAGGATCCATTGCAGGAACTCATTCTGACACTGAATCAGCAGCAGATTGCCCTGAAGGATGTTATTGCCAGGTAATTGAGACAAATTCGTGCGCAGCCTTTGCACAAATTTGGTGGGTGTGTGCTACCCTCCAAAACAGGGTATTTATGTGAAAAACTGTAAAATGCTAAATGATAAATTGGCTGCCTTGTTTTATCCTTTTTGCAGGCTACATTCCTCTATGCTGAACCTATTTGCATCTCAGATGTATACTTTTGGATCATTCTAGGATCTGAAACTCTCAATAGTTCCATGACAACTGTTATTAGTTATATAACAATTCTACTTGACTTTGACATATCTTGTATTTGTTGTGCTAAGTTAATGCTGACAAAAAAAAGAGTAGGAGTTGTAGTAAGCTTCTCTTGGTAACTTTATGGATAGTGGTAATTTCCTCTTCAGTTTTTTTTTTTCACTTACTTGATGTCAACTTAAAACTACATGTCCTGATTTACTTTCTATTACCTTTAGCCAGGTGCTTTGTGCTTCTTTGCAACATTACTGGTTTTGAGTGTTTAATAGCCCGAGCAGTTAAAAATCAGTATAAAAAAGTTTTGATTTGTTTTATAGAGACCTGTGTGTGTTCCCAGCTGTAGCAGTTGCTCCTCCATGTTTGTATGGAGCAAATCCTTCTTAGGCTTGGAGCCATGGAATGAAACTCCTGCAGTTCAGTCTCGAGGAACAGAGATGGTGCAGCGTGATTCAGGTATTAAACACCCACCACTGGTTACACCTGTGTGCAAGGGCTGTGTCCAGTTGTGAATGTGACCTGCAGAACCCTCAGGTTCTCATTCACAACCAGGCAAGCTCTGGCTGTCCTGCTTTGGCAGCTGAAAGCAGAAGGGACAGCAGGTGCTGATTTTGACACAGATGATTGCAATGCTCAACATCCTGGAGCTTTTCCTGAATTTCCATTTCCTCATGTGTGTGAGAGTTTGTGAGAGTGGTGCTCACAGCTGGCATTAGCTGGTAAGAGGATCTCTTCCTCAAGCTCATAGTGAGTAGGTGCTCATGGTGGGAAGGCAAATGCTAAAGGAAAGTCTTAAGACAATGAGATTCATTTGCATAATTTCCTTACTAATTGAACCAAATTATGTATGTAGCTGTAGCTCAAATATGTAATTATGTATGAAATATGTCAGTCATATTACTATTTGATGAGGCATCTAGGGTGTTTCCAAGAAATATGCCACTAGTTATCCTATGTTTATGAGCAATTTGTGCTTCAAATGCAGATTTTTTTTTTTTTCACAATAGCCATTTGATTAATTTGCCTTTGCTTTCATTATTTGTAGCTGTTTACATTGTTAGTACTTTAAGTGTAGTTGGTGTTTTTATGTTGGCAGTTCCTCAGCCTTACTCCAGGGGCTTTTATTTTTCGTAAAGTGCCCTGGCATTGCCTGAGGATAAATTGAAAATATGCTCCTTTCCCTCCCCAGCAAGATTCTCTATATCCTCTGGGGCCTACAACTTGAGCAAACATTAACAATATATTGAAGTTTTTCTTATTTTTTATTCCAAATTGCATCATTATGCTTTCTGTAAGATGCAGTATAAAACATTAAATAATACTTTACCTTAAAGCAACACAAGGCAGCAGAACAGAAGGGATTTGATTTAGTCAATGGACAAGAAAAATAATGAAGCATGTACAGGAATAACAACTCAGGTGTGCTTAGTCATAGGACATGATGTGATTACTTGTAATAGATCTTTAGATTTTATATGGCTGCACCATAAATTAATAGCTTTAAGGGTAGACAGATTAATTATGAACTGTGTAGATCTGTAATATGGGCAGTCAAATAACTTGAAGTGTTTGCACACTTAATGTAGGTTGGGGAAGTAATAAGAAAGCAATTTTTCCAGTCTTCTCACTCTGTTAAAAAAAGTTTTTTTAGAGATTTATCCTATATTAATGTGAATTTATAGTTAAGTTGCTTGTTTCCCCATTTTAGGAATTCATAAAAAGCTTCAACCAACACAAGTGATCCTTCAGTGCTATCCTGTGTTCCCACACTCCCTCCACAGGTGTCAGTCACACAGATGTGATTCCTCTTGTCTTCTCTGACACTGATTTAGATCTGTTGATGGACACAAAGATGGAGTCGTGTGACAAAAGTGCAAGAGGCAGAGATACCCACACATACAGGTGAATTTCATGCTAAGAAAGCAGTGGTTTAAAAGCAAAAGTAGAGAGAAGATGATTTGGGGAGAAACTAGGATTTTTGGTTGAGGTCACCCTTCTAGTTTAAGTAACTTGGGCTTTTAAGATGCCTTCAAAGATGATATCATAACCTTTCCCTTCAAACTAGGGGGAAAATGAAAATCACATCCTTCCCACACTGCTGCCTCTGCTCCTGTCTTTCTCTCCCACTTTCATCTAACAAACCATCTGGAATTCTGTGTTGGGACAGCCAAAATAAATGTGGGTGTTTTCAGCCCTTGATAAACAAGAAATGTCATTCTTGATCATCATTGAATTTCAGATCCACCAGTGAGGAGATGCTGTGTGTGTAGGTCTAAGGTGTATTTGAAAACTTCTCTCAAGTGACTGTTTCTTGTCTTGGAAGGATGTGCTGAGACCACAAGGAATGTAATGGGTTTCTTTGTTTTACAGGCTTTTAAGTGGTAATTCTATTGAAGAGAGGCTGTTGAAAAAGAGTATTAAACATGATTCAAGAACTGGCTGCTCAGGGAGGGGATTGTTCAACAGACTTTTTATCCCAGGTACTGTAACATTAAGAATGTGAGCAGAATTTAATGATACATAAAAAAATAAGTGTTTTACTAGATATGAGACAGAATTTTGAAAAGGTAATGGTTTATTTATTTTTAGGCTTGTTTGGGAACCACTGATGTGTGTTCACAGCTAAATTCAGTAGAAATCCTGAACTGTCAGCTCATATAGAAAATCAGAAGGTAACAATATCTAATAAATATTGGTAATATTGAGAAGTTGTAATAAAGATCTGTGTGTTCCAATTATAATGCTACCCTTTTATTGACATTGCAAAATCTGCAGCAAAAGGTGTCACACACATCTGTAATTCTGACTTTTCTCAACTTGATTTTAGGATGATTAAAAAAATTTTGCATTGTTTTCTTAAAGGTCTTGGATCATATCAGTGATGTGTTTAACTCTAGTAACATGTTAATCACTCTCCAAAGCAACGCCAAAATGGTTACATGTAAACCATTGCAGGTCAGAGGGAAAGGAGAGTTCAAGCTGAAACTTGCTTTACATTGTGAGGACTTGGCGACTTCTGGGGTCCTTTTTGGTTTTTTTGGTTTTTTTTCCTTTTAATTTCTCATTGCTGTTAGAGTACTACATGAGTGTTTACTAAGCAGAAACATAACTAAATTTTAGAATTTTGAATAGCTTGGTATACAAACAAATGTTAGTAAATACCTTCTCCTAACAGTATGAATAATACTGTTATTATATATAATATATATATTAATATATTATATATATATATATTAATATATATTAATATTTATTACATTTCCACACACTTAGGAGTATGAAATTTCCTCGATCTTATGACAACACAACCTTGGATGTATCATTTTGCACTAACCAGTATGTTAAAAATAAGGGAGGGGAGATGTTTATTTTAACTTTTAAGTGGTAGGATATGAATTATCTTCAGTCAAGACTATTGGTAACTATTAATTTTGAGACAGGGGGACTTTTGATTACGTATTTTTGGTACTTAAGCCTTCACTTCGTATTTATTTCAGAATGCAGGTAGTCATCCTTTCTCTTAGACAAGACTTGATAAAAAACAGAATTTTGAATCAAATCAAATCGATTTCAGTCAGAATTCAAATTGATGACAATGACAATTAGAAAAAGAAGTTCCTCAAATAGATTTCTGTAAGTTTACTTCCACTGTCAATAATTTTTCTCAGATTTAACAGTAAATCACTGGTGATCTGGTGAATTTCTTTTCTCTTAAGCACGAATGTATTTCATGGGGACCTTTTTCTTATCAAAGGCTGACCTTTACTTAAGGTAAAGTGTCCAAGAATCAAATCTGTGCTCGTGCTGATGTAAAGAAACGCCTGAAGTGCTTCAGTACGGCTCCATCTGATGTACCACAAGTCCTTCCTCGTGTCCGGGTGCCCCCTCCTGAGCATCGGTGTGCGCCCGCTGTGTCCCGTCCTGTAACCTGGCAGCACCGAGCAGCGCCGGCCGTGCCCCGAGCCCCAGCAGGCCCTGACAGACAGGGCTGGGTCCCCTCTCAGCCCTCTGCCCGAGGCTGAGCAGCGCCGGCTCCCTCAGCGCTGCCCCGCTGGGGCTGCTCCAGCCCCTCCATCACCTCCGTTAGCCCGGCTGGCCCCGCTGCGGGCGCTCCCAGTCCCTGCAAGTGTGGATTTCCACACCGTCTGTCGGGGAGAAGCGACAGCCCAGCTCGGTGCGCGGTCCCTTTGCTCGCTCCTTCCCCTGCCCTGCCTCCGCCACAATAAATACAATTTCTCTGCGCTGTCGCCGAGCCCGTTCCTATCGCGACAGGCCCCGCGGAGCGCGCAGGCGCGGCGCAGGCGCGGCCCGCGGGCGGCGGCGCAGGCGCGGCGGGACGCGGTTTGTCTCCTGCCGGCGCTGGTAGCGGCGCCCCCGCCCTCGCTTCCTGCCCGCAGCGAATGGAGCCCGCGGTAAGTGCGGCCCGCGGGGCCCGCCCGGGCCCGGCTGCGCGACCGAGCGGCCCCGCCAGCCCCGCCGCTGCACCGCGGGGGGACGGGCCCGCCCGGCGCGGCGCGGGGACGCGGGGCGGGCGGGGCCGGGCCGGGAGCCCCGGGCGGGGGCAGTCCCCGCGGAGCGGCGGCGGCGCCGCGCTTCGGCCCCGGCCCGGGGACCCGCCGCGCTGCTCGTACACAAAAGGCGATCCCTGCATCGGGACCTCCCTTAGCGGCCTGTAATTAATTAAGTGTTTTCACTGGGGCCGTAAGTGTTAGTGAGGTGCGGGTAATTAAAATAACAAGACCTTGATGCATGTGGTATCGTTTGAATCTTAACTATTTGTTATCGGCGCTGTGAAAGAACCGCGATACCTCGGAGAACTGCAGTATTGTTTAATCTTTTGGAAAAGGGGCCTGTAAGGAGTGCAGTTTTTTCTCCTTCCCGCTCTACTGAGGGAGCTCGCTCAGATCTGAGCTCCGGGGAGTGGGAGAGCCGCGACCCGCGGGGATGAGCCCGGCACGGAGAGCTCAGACCCGCCGGGATGAACCCGGCACGGAGAGCTCAGACCCGCCGGGATGAACCCCGGTGCGGGGAGCCCAGACCCGCCGGGATGAGCCCGGCACGGAGAGCTCAGACCCGCGGGGATGAGCCCCGGTGCGGGGAGCTCAGACCCGCCGGGATGAACCCCGGTGCGGGGAGCTCAGACCCGCCGGGATGAGCCCGGCACGGAGAGCTCAGACCCGCCGGGATGAGCCCCGGTGCGGGGAGCTCAGACCCGCCGGGATGAGCCCGGCACGGCGAGCCCAGACCCGCCGGGATGAGCCCGGCACGGAGAGCTCAGACCCGCCGGGATGGCCCCGGTGCGGGGAGCTCAGACCCGCCGGGATGAGCCCGGCACGGAGAGCCCAGACCCGCCGGGATGAACCCCGGTGCGGACAGCCGAGACCCGCGGGGATGAGCTCCGGGCGGGAGAGGCGAAGCCCGCCCGCAGGAGCCGCTGTGCCGGCTGCACTCCCCGGTACTCCCGGCACGGGAGGTCCCGGGTCTCGGCCCCCTGTCGCTGCTGGCACGTGTGTGACAGCGCTGCTTTGCTCCACCTTCCCGGACAGCCGCCTGTTTCCCGGGGCATGGAAGGGACTCTCCATCCCCAGGGCTTGGGCAGATGGCTGCAGGCGGCGCAGGGCTGTGATTGCTCCCTGCCTGGGCGGCAGAGGAACGGGAGAGCCGGCAGCGCCCGCTGCATCCCGGCTTTTCCCAGCGGTGCTGCCGGGCCGGTGTGCTGCTGCCTGGTACTGCCTGCGACCAACTCCGAGTTAGGAACACACAGGAGCGGCAGCATGTTTATGTATGGCCTGAAATGCTAAAAGTGAAAGTGTTGCTTTCAAAAGAGGCGAGAGATTTTGAAAGGAAAAAAAAAAACCATCAGGTTTCATTTTCTCTTGCTGCTATTTCTGTGTGAGTCCCAGCCCTGAGTCTACCTGTCAGTGCATGTCATTGGAATTTTTGTTTGTCTGTGACTGAAATACAAAACCAGAACGTTTTGGGATTTCTGGGTAGCTTGACTCAATAAACAGCATTTTAAATGAAATGCAGATTTGGTTAATTTTTGTCTCTTTGTGTTCTGAAGGACAAGAAGGCAAAGTTAAGCATCAAGTACAGTGGTTTTTCATACATTTAGATGACTTGGCCTTCAGTAGCTAGAACAATGAAGTTGAATAGTCTGTCTATTTTCTTGTTTTTAGTTGCTGTTGAAACAATGTTTCAGATATGTTTCAGCAATTACAATAACTTTGCATTAAGAGTTAAAAGCACTGAAACATTGATAATAATGAACACGAAAAAAGAGTAGATGCCTTGATGCTGGAGACCGTTATTTCTTAAAGTTCCACAGCAAGGGAAAAAGTCCAGTTCATTCTTTTTATTATTTGAAGCCATTCTACCTAGCTAAGGGGAACACAAGACTATTCAATAGCAGTATTAGCTAGAGAAATTTATGAGGGATTTGAGTGAGATTTTTGTTGTGCTGAGGGTTTTGGATAATTTGAAACATTTTAAGTAACTGCAAAACCAGGATAACAGAGTTCTTACTATAAGGCAATCTTTCTAAGTGTAACTAAATAGTTTCAGTTGCAGAAGAGTTTTTACATTCTCTGAATGTCTGTTTTTCTGTATTTTTTTAGATTACACTGTAAAACCTTAGATCAGTGAGAATGCACCATGGCAATGGTCCTCAGAATGCCCAGCGCCAGCTGCAGAGATCCAGGTCCTTCACAGGCAGTGAGGGAGAAGAACAACAGGCAAATTTACCCCAGTCCCCCGCAGCCTCTTTCGCGCCTTCCGCGAGTCCCTCAGCGCCGCAGTCGCCCAGTTACCAGATCCAGCAGTTCATCATGAGCCGGAGCCCGGTGGCCGGGCAGAACGTGAACATCACCCTGCAGAACGTGGGCCCGGTGGCCTCGGGCAACCAGCAGATCACGCTCACCCCGCTGCCACTTCCAAACCCGACGTCCCCAAGCTTTCAGTTCAGCCCCCAGCAGAGGCGCTTTGAGCATGGATCCCCCTCGTACATCCAGGTCACCTCTCCGCTGCCCCAGCAAGTGCAGTCCCAGAGCCCCACCCAACCCAACCCGGTGCCGGTGCAGGCGCTGCCCAGCGTCCGGGCGGGCACCCCCGGGCCTGGCCTGGGCATGTGCAGCCAGAGCCCCACCAGAGGCTTTGTGGATGCCAGCGTGCTCGTGAGGCAGATCAGCCTGAGTCCTTCCAACGGCGGACACTTCGTGTACCAAGAAGGCCCGGGGATCGCACAGATTGCTCAAGGAGCTGCTGCACAAGTGCAGCTTCCATCGTCCGGGCCGCCTGCCACGGTGAGGGAGCGCCGGCTCTCGCAGCCCCACTCGCAGTCTGGGGGCACCATCCACCACCTCGGCCCTCAGAGCCCCGTGGCCAGCGGGGCAAATATGCAATCTTTGACTAGCCCGGGCCACATCACAACGACCAGCTTGCCACCCCAAATCAGCAATATTATCCAGGGGCAGCTTATGCAGCAGCAACAGCAAGTGCTTCAAGGGCAGCAGCTGAGTAGACCCATTGGATTTGACAGGACTTCTGGTGGATTGATAGCAGGGGTTGGAGGACCGAGTGCGTTTGGAATGACATCACCTCCTCCTCCCACAAGTCCTTCACGGGCCACTGTGCCACAGGGGCTGTCGAGTCTTCCTCTCACTCCTACAGCTAACACAGCAGTGAAAAAACAGCCCAAAAAGTTGGAGGAGATTCCTCCTGCCAACCAAGAAACTGCTCAAATGAGAAAACTATGTTTGGATCATCACCACAAGCAGATGGAAATTCTTAAGGAAACTTTTAAGGAGTGTTTGATTGAACTGTTTTTCCTGCAACATCTTCAAGGGAATATGATGGACTTTTTAGCTTTTAAGAAGAAACATTGTGTTCCTCTGCAAGCATACCTGAGGCAAAATGACTTGGATTTGGAGGAGGAAGAAGAGGAAGAACAATCTGAGGTCATCAATGATGAGGTAAGAAACTTTGTTGGAATAAAATCATAGATGAAATTGTAGCACTGGGATTGTGAGGTATTAAAGAATGGGACAGGACATGAAAAATCATTTTTGCTTGGTGAAGTATGGCAGTTTTTCATAAAAGTTGGCCTGAAAGAATACAGTTCTGCTGGGTAGTGTCATTCGATGGTTGGTTTGAGTGTGCTGTTAGATTTTTGTGTTTAAAATAAAAGCATAGAGAGGGAGCTTTAACTGTCCTAGCTGCACACAAATAAAGATGGTAGAAGTATGGAAATGGTTTTAAACTCTCAGAATGGTTATGACTAGGAATCTTAGCTTGAATTTCACTTAACTAGACTTGGACAAACCAAAAGAGAATGAGCAAAAGCATTACAAGAGGTTAGCCTGACTCATGTGACTGCTAATCATATATGTCACTGAAGTTCAGTGTTGCTGCAGCCAACAGAAAATGTGAATTAATCTAGTTAGTGAGGGAGAACATGCGTAAGGGTCCACAGTCATATATTAATTACATTGTTTTGGGTGCCCTGGAGCTCTGTGTGTAAGCTGCTGTTTAAAGGATGAACAACCAGCACTTACAGACTGGACATTGACGAGTTCACTTTGTTACTTATGCAAAGGTTTAAGTTACTAACTTGAATTCACTGCTTATTGATGGCAAAGAACTTGAAAGAAGCTTGCCACTAACAGGTGCTGTGCAGCTTTTCCTGCACGTTTGTACCCACCTGTGGGTGCTGGAGCACTAGTCTGGTGCAAAGCCGGCCCAAAAGCCAGCATGGCAAGTGGTTGCAGCAGAGTAGATAGAACTGATGCCCCTGCACCACGAGGCACTCATAAATATCTTCTAAAGTTTATGAATTATGTAGCTGCCTGTTTGTAGAAGAACCAGTATTATGTAAAGAACCTTGTTTTGCTTTGAATGCCCTTTGTAAATGAGTTCCTTCACTGAAATTTGATGGCTCTTAGGCATGACTCATTAGCAATCATACCTTCAATTGGAATTTGTGGGAAATTTTAACAGAATAATGGCTGAAGTTTTAATTTTTTTAGTACTTTGTTGTATAAGCTTCTTAATTAGGGAAAATATATTTCTGCTTGTGACAGTTATTGACACTTTTATAGGAATCATTACTTTATATAGTAACATAAAAGCTAGCCTGTTTACTGTATTTTATTGACAATGGATATTCAGTATTTTTTTTTCACCTGGTTTGTGTTTTGTCAAATTGTTTAGGTGTTCTTGTTGGGTTGCGTGTTTGTCAGCTGAAATAACC